TTATTATGCACCATAAGGGACATGGCAAGGTTGTCACTGACTCGTCTTGTGACCCAAAGGGGTAAACTCACTTGGGGTCCCTCAAGAGCAGAAAGCCCCACCTCCATGGAGGGTCACAGACCTGGAGCCACAGAGGGCCATGGAGGGCCACGGAGCCTGGGGACATAGGACACACTTCAAATGACCTGACCCTCCCAGGTGTCTCGGGTGCAAGGAGTGGCCGGGACACTCAGCACCCAGAGTGGAGGGAGCTGCTGTGGGGAGCTTCACTCTGCCCTCGGCGGGACCCTTGCAAGAATCTCCTTTAGTCTTTCAACGCAAGGCAAAAGCTTTCATACAGTGGGGAGAAAGCTAGCACTCTGTGGAGAAAAGGAACTGGGAACCGGGTCTGTTTTCTGTGGTTCCACTGCCAGGGAAGACAAGCTCAGCTGATCAAGATCCATAGGAAAGCTGGTGTGTGGTGCATACGTGTCATCCCAGAACTAGGGAGGCTGTAAGTTTAAGGCCAGCAAGACCTGTGGACCTTCTTCCACGGGCAGAAAGAGCCACCGATGGCCCAAGCAGAACTCGTTAGGCAGTGAGCAGGGGTGAGGCCCTCACCAGAACTCTGCAGAGAGGGAGGAGTGCCAGGAGGGCAGGACCAGGAGGAAACCTGTGGGATGGGCGAGACAGGGAAAAGGGAGGGAAAGAGGGTACAGAGGGATTCTGAGTGACTGGCTCAGGGGACTGCAGAGCTTAGCAAGGCCCACAGTGCGGAGCAGAATCTGCTGTGCTGAGGGTCCACCAAGTCAGATGCTGATCTCATGAGAACAGCCCGGCAGAGACGCCCAGCACAATGTCTGACCAGACCTCTGGGTGCCATAGTGCAGCCACATTGGCACAGAAAATGAACCACTACCGAGGTTCCTGGGCGAGTGGGTCTGGGTGGAAGCTGGGACTCATCTTGAAGATGCTGCTGGATCTGCTCCCTGGCTCTGCGCTTACCCAGGGGGATGGTGGCTGAGTGCGGGGTTATGTCATGGCTACCGAGGGACACGTGCCGGGAAGTGGCGCTATGCCGTGTGGGGAAACCAAGGCACAGCACTGTATCCATGGTCACAAATCCCATGAGTGTCAGAATTGCAAAGGAGCTGATCCCATGCTGAACCGACCCTGGACACCAGTGGACTCTTGGGATGAGCGGGCCTGTCCCTCTTACCCCCCACCACTCCTTGGCCTGCATGCAGTATTTTTCCACAACAGTTTGCTTCCAGGAGTTCTTCTCGGAGGCCTGAGGAGGAAAACGGAGCTGATCATTTTTCATGGCTCAGTTATCCAGCAATCTGCAATTACAGGATGGTGGGGAAGCTTCCCCTCGCTTTGTGGTAACCCGGAGCCAACTCTGGGCTTTTCTCTGAGAAGCAGGCAGCAGCAGGAGCAGGCTTTCTCTGCCGCCTTCTTCCCTGCCGCAGACCCTCCACGGGGAGCGATGGAGGTCTCCTCACAGGGAGCAGCACAGAAACACCCCAACACTCACAGGTTGGTTTGGAAAGGCAAAGACTACAATTCTGGGTAGATTCCTCCTACTAATATCACAAAATGCTTCATCGCCATCTCAAATTTTTCTTTAAACCTATTTTTCCAAGTAAGATCTTATTCCAGTGAGATAATCCTTGCATAAGCAATACAATAAAAAAAAAAAAGGTGGTGTTTAAACTTGAAAAATATATCACATTCAAAGAAACGTGGCCTTTGGCCCTCAAACCCTCCCCCGGCTCCAAACACTCATCCTGTCGCTCCTGCCCCTCTGTGGGGCCGCTCTGAGGTCCTCTTTTCTGAGCGTTTTTAGATGCATTGTTGTGGCTGCCTTGATGTCCTCAACTGTTCCAAAACGCTTCTCTTTTGTGGTCATTTTGACTTTGGGGAAGAGGCGGAAGTCACAGGGTGCCAGGTCCAGTGACTAAGGCAGAAGAAGACAGCGTCCTGTTTTTACAAACCGGCCGTCCCACCAAATGGCACTGGGCAGCAGTGTCCACCGCACTTTTGACCACACCTCGTAAAGGCCCCAGGACTGCTCCTGAAAGTGGTAGGAGTGGTGAGACGCATTTTTGCAAAGCGGGAGGGGTGTTTTGAGGGGATCCGTGCCACTGTCTCTTCTAGTTCATTGAATTTTTAAGTGTAAATGACAGTTGTTCTTCAGGGAGAAGTCTGACAGTGTCAGAAGTCCTTTCGCATCGCATCTTATTTTCCCCTCTCTGAAGGCTGCCACAACCTCTGGCCCTCATGTATCAGGGAGCTGAGTGAGGACCAGCAGTGGGAGGCACTGAGTGTGCAGTGTGGTCACTGCCTGGTCCTGCAGTGAGGACCAGCAGTGAGTGTGCAGTGTGGTCACTGCCTGGTCCTGATGCAGGGACCTTAGGGAGCCCAGAGAAGCTCTTCCCTTCCCGGGAGCTGGCTGGGCCCATCACATATCCCAAGGCACTGAGGACCCACAGCACTGGACACCCTCCCCTGGAGTCTGAGCTGGCAGGATAGTAGCAGTTGCTGAGGGTTTGGGTCCCTTCCCATGGCAGCTTGGTGAAGCCAGCTGATCCCAGACTCTTCTCAAGCAGTGGCATGCAGTCTCAATTCAGCCTTGAGTTCAAATCCTGCCCCTGGTGTTTTTCAGCAGTAATGTGCCATTGGTTTTACTCCCCAGCTCCTTAAGACAAAATTAAGAAGGCAAAGGTTGCAGTAGAATGTCCCTCAAGGGGTGGCAGAGCAGGTGAGCACATCAGGAGGTAGCCACCCTGGCACAGGGACATGTTGAGAAGGCTGGATTTTATGCAGCTTTTTGTATCCATGAGTCCAGCATTATCCCAGGAGCTCTGCTGCTCCTGCTCACTGTTTGCCACTGCGGCAGCTTGCAAGGCTGGTACACAGCTCCTGTGGCCCCAGGCAGTGTCTCAGCCAACAGGAAATTGCCTTACTTCCAGGAAGGGGAGCCAGGGCCTTGCCTCACTGCCCTGCCCTAGCCACAGACAGCTCCTTCGCCCAGTCTCCCTGCAAAACCCGACTTCTTCCTGGATATAGGCACAGCAGGACCCACCACTGCATAACGGGAGGGCCGGGTGCTCACACTTCTTTAGCCCTCTGGTCAGGGGCTGCCCCCTAGGCTCCAGCCTCTGCTCCCTGTCCAGGAAACTGGGCCGGGGCAACTCCTCTGAGCAGCACTGGGGCCAGGTCCTCCCTGTCAAGGTGCCAGTTTGGAAGTGGGTACAATTCCCCCAGCAGAGCGCAAGTCCACAACCCCCTGACTTCTCTGCGCATCATCTTCGGAACTGGCACCGCCTCCGGGCAGCTGCACATTTCCATCCTGCTTCCTTGCTTCAGTCTTCTCCTTTCCTCTGCCCTAAACCCAAATAGTGAGTGACAGTACTGTGTCTTTTTTTTTTTTTTTTTTTTTTTTTTGGTGCTAGGACTCGAACTCATGACCTTGCGCTTGCCAGGTAAGCGCTTGTGCCACTGAGCTAAATCCCCGGCCCATTATTGTGTCTATTCTTATTGAGGCATTCATCACTGAACCAATCCCTGCCATGTGCCCAGGGCTGTGCTGGACCCTGCACTTGCCTCTGGAGGGACAAAGACACAAAGATCGTTAAGCTCACGATTGTTAAGCACACATCGAACCCAGGACCCCATGCGTGTAGGGTCAGCCACAGCCAAGGTGCTCGGAGGCTGCACGGACCACACACAGCCTCCATGGAGCCCCGTCCAGCGAGCCTGGCATTGCGTCTACTCCCAGGCTGTGGTGGGTCCTGGGGAAGCAAGGCAAGGCTGTGTTTCACAGGGGTGGGCTCAGCCGTCCCCGCGAGGGCCACCGAGGCCTGGGGGTCCCCAGGCCAGGATTAGATGTTCATCTAGAGTGGGGTCTGATGAAGGCATCTCTGGTCGCTGCCACTGAGAGACGGATTACTGTGGAATCCTGGTGAACGACTCGGCCCGCTCTGGCAGCCAGCGTCCTAACCAGCGGAAGATGACAAGTCCCAAGGCCTCGGCCCTGTTTGGCTGCCAGAAAAACACTGTGGGGCAGAGGTCTGGAGACAGAAAACCTGAAGCTGTGTCGCTGTGGCGACTGGAAAACTTTTGTTTTTATTTAGGAGACTGATTTGTATATGTTAAGGCCAATTGGTAGAAATTGGTTCATTTGCAAATTGGCAGGCACAGAAGAAGCTTGATTTAAGACTAAAAGCAACAAAGCTAAGGCAATAAAAAGAGAATCACTTTCATTAAGTTCAAAAAAGCAGACGCTATCCAAGCTTTCTTTTCTTCTGAGATTCTTAACTTCTCTCACAGCAAACGAGTCTGAGGTTGTTTACAGAAACACCAGATGATAGCATAAAAATAAAGAGGATGAGAAATCAGGGAGAAGGGACGGTAAGAATAGAATAATAGAATGAACCGGAGGAAAGATAATATGCAGAAAAATGCATATGATATTCTAAAGACATCAGAAGTTAACTGGAAAAATATTTATAGCATAAATGCATGCTAAGTAGGAAAACATGAAGCTCAGCTCCGCAGCTGATCCCACATTTACCCAGAAGACACCAACAGTAAAGGTGTAGAACACCTGAATCCCTTTCCGCTCGGTCCCACGCTGCTAAAAGGCCGCTGGCCTCCGACTCATCTGGGCATGTGTAACCGTGCTTGTCCTCCCAGCTCCATGCAAACAGCATCTCCCAGTGTACTCTCTCCTGCACGGGCCTCACTTCCCCGCTGTCTTACCCTCCTCTTTGCTAGGACAAAATACCCAACACCCACAGGGTAAGACAGGAGAAGTTTGTTTATGTATTGATTTAGTTTTTGTCTTTTTGAGACAGGGTCTCTCTACGCAGTTCAGGCTGGCCTTGAGCTCACTTTGTAGCCCAGGCTGGTTTTGAACTCCCAATGATCCTCCTGCCTCAGCCTCCTGAGTGCTGGGATTACAGGTGTGAGCCATCACACTGGCAAGAGAGGTTTATTTTTGGCTCATGTTTAGAAGTTTCAGTCCTCTGCATGGCACGAGGGGGATAGTGGAGGAGAAGCTGCTCACACCAGGTGGCTAGGAAGTGAGGAGCCAGAAAGGGAGAGAGATGCTTCCAGGTCACATCCTCAGTGACCCAGTTCTTCTGAGCCCAACAGCAAACCAGCTATAGTGTCCCCACAATCCAATCCCCTCTCAAAAGCCCTGCATGTGGGTGCACAAGGCTTTGAAGGACCTCTAACTATGAACCATAACAGTCCCTATGCACCAGTAACACCCATGCATATTTGTACACACGGCTGCTGTCTGCTCCGGGTCCTGCTGTGCATTTACCCTTGTATGTGACGGCATTCTCATGTTCTAGAACATTCCCGTCTCCTGGGCAATCAGTTCCCTTTCTTTGGACACAGGCCTTGCTTTTCAGTAGAACCCACCAGTCACGAGCCCTGGGGAGAGCACATGACCCAGGTCTTAGCCAATCACCTGCTCTGCATCCCTTTGCACTGATGCAGGAATTGGCTGGCTGTGGGCTCCTCAAGTGGCCTCATGGCTCATTAGGAGGAGTCTGTAGCCTTTTGATGAACTTGGGTGCACCAGGCAGGTGCTCTGTAGCCACAGGGGAAGCTGGCCTGAGGACAGAATCTGCAGAAAAGAGAGAACAGGGAAGATGTTGGAGAAAAGCAGCACTAAGGATTCTGCTTGATCTCTGCTCACAGCTGTGCCCGGAAATTGCTATCTGGTCCTAAAGGTAACATTTTCCCTTTCACACTGAAGTCAAGTTGAACCAGGTTTTCAGTGACTTGGGAACCAAAGCGTCCCCCTCTGTCTGTAAAGCCCTACAAACTGCTTCAACACAAATGCTGACCCAACCTAGGGCACTGCATCCTGTGAGTCGTGGCTCGTGCCTCCCTTGGGTGCTCCTTCTCTGCCTGGTTGATCTCCCCATTTTCAGGGCTCCTGTCCCTTGCCCCTCCTGTCACTTCTGCTCCACACCTGAGCTTTTTTTCATAGTTTATCTCATTCAAGGGACCTTGCCTATCAAGGGACCCTCCCATCTGGCTGTGATTTCCATGAGTTCAGGGATGACCCCTGCTTTGTTCTCAAAGGAAACCCTATGGCTGGTCCAGCGAAGGGCATGTAATCAGTTTTTGCTGAATAATGAATATTTACCTTGGTGTAGGCTCCCACTAACTTGGCACGGGACTCCCCAGCAATCAGGTCTGTCCCCCAGCCCCACCTACATGTGGATTCTCCTAGAGGTGGAATGTGAGACCTGAGACTGGGGGAACCTAGAGAGAAGAGGAGAAGAAAAGTGGGGAAGGGAGGAGGGAGGGGAAGGAAGAGGAGAGGAAAGGAGAAAAGGGGAGGGGAGGAAAGAAGGAGAGGTGGAGGAGGGGAGAGGGGTGGGAGGGGATGAATGTGTCATGAACCAGCTTTGGGTAGATCCCTACCAGGGACTCTGAGATAGAGTGTTATAAACAGGCTGCTGGGGGAAGAGGGAGCTGTGGCATTTGCACCCCACTTTCCTCGTCCTCCAGAGAAGCCCATGGCACAGGGAAATGCAGGTGCTGGCTGGGCCAGGGAGCAGTGAGCTCTGAAATGGCAAGGGGAGGGGACAAGGGCAGGACACCCACAGGTGTGACCCACAGCTCTGCGCTGCCGCCTGGCTAGGGGCCTTCCCACTCCCGGTGCTGAGGGTGCTCTGTGGGCTGGATCTGGTCCATCCTGTATGACTTTATCCGGGCACTAGGCACCAATGAGCTCACGCTATGCCTGCATTCACCGTATTTTTTGATCACCACACTGACGGACAATTTATGTCAGCTTCTGTCAAACAGAAACCCGGCGCTGTGTCTTCATCCATCACATCTGCTGGATCTGGCCGTGTGACTTTCGACTCTTCCCCAAAGGAAAATGTCCATGAGGGGGAAACATTTCACAACAATTCTGGACATCAAGGCAGCCAAGACACAGTAACTGGAGACCCTCAGGAAAGAGGACCGCAGAGCTGCTGCAGAACGCGGCCAGAGCCACGGGACAAGGGTGACTGAGGCAGGAGGCAGACTTCTGAGGGGCCATGGCGGATGGCAGGGTGCGTCTTTTCTTTTTAACGGAAAGATTCCACATCCACTCTGTGTCCCTCACACTGACCTGTGCTTCCCCAAGTCCCCTGAGGAGAAAGCCTGCTTGGTCTGATTTGCACAGCCCTGGCTGTGGGCTGAGCAGCGGCAGGTGGCTTTTTGGCAAACGGGGCGGTGGCAGCGCTTCCCTCTGTGTCCCCAAGTCCCGATGGGCCTTCCCTGTCTGCCTGCTAGGATAAATGGGCTTGGCTGTGGCAGTTACAAGCACTGTGTGGTTCTCCAAGCCCCTTTACGTCCAGCTTCCCCTCTGAGCCTTAAAACCAGCCCTCCTATGAGCAAACCTTGTCTTATCTAGCCTAACTTACACCGGGGAGGCCCAGAGAGGGCCAGCAACCCCTGGAGTGTCACACAGCAGAGCTGGAGCCAGGATGGAGACCTTGCATGCTGACTTCTGGCGGAGACACTTTCCTCAGTGGGGCCCTGGGCACCCCAGCATCAAGCCCTGAAGTTCCGGAAGGGAGGTGACGCCAGTCCCTTCCTGCCTTTTAAAGACGCGGCTCTGCATGTCCCCACCCCCTCTTCCTAGTAAGTAGAACCATTAGTTTTTATTGACGGGACTAATGCTTTTCATTTAGGGCCAATTACAATAGGAAGGGAGCCGCTTAGGGGTAACTGGGCGATGAAAGGGCTCCATTAGGGAACAAGCTCGGGGCTGCTGTTTCCCATTTGCAAGGCCGGCTCCACATGCGAGTCCCATTTAAACCGTAAACGGTGGCGCCCGGGGAGCCCTCGCGGCCGCCTTGAGAAACCCAATCCTTTTATCAAATCGCCAGATGGCCCCATGGCGGAGAAAGGTCTACTTCAGGTACTTTTCTCCTCCCGGAGCCCAGAGATGCTTGTTCCGGGCAGGCAGTTCCAGCCCCTCCCCGCCGGCCGTCCCTAACCCCTAACCCCTAACCCCTAACCCCTAACCCCTAACCCCGAGGAAGCGCAGTAGCCTCTCGCTTCCCCTTGCAGCCATCATCCTTCGGCTTTTACCAGCAGCCCAGTGACTCCTCAGAAACTTCTGCTCATTTCTTTGCTTTTCCTGTTTTCCATTTTGTTCCTTGGGGGAAGATGAATGGGCGGGGCACTCAGAGCACCCCAAATCCCAGCGGGGAGGGGTTGGGTTCAACCAGAGTTTATCTCACACCTGGGTTCCAGGGGCTGTGCCCATTTCACAGAAGACAAAGTGGAATTGGGCGTGTGGCGCATGCCTGTAGTCACAGCATTGCGGGTGGGGAGGCCGAGGCAGGAGGACTGCTGAGTCCCACACCAGCCTGGGCTACACAGAGAGTTCAAGGCCAGGCTGAACCCTGTAGGGAGATCCTGTCTCAAAACAAATCAAAACAAAATTCTAAGACTGGAAAGGGGAGGCTGGCAGTGGCTCTCTACGTATTTACAGGGCAGCAAAACACTTGGAACCACTACTGCAAATGCCTAGCTGCCTGACACATTGCGTCTTCACACAGTGTCTGTCCCCTTTAACAGCTACTCACCAGCTCCCCTCCACCCTATGAGCTGATACCCCAGGAGGGGTCCAGATCATCATGGTGTAGGATCTGGTCTGGGCTGCATGGGAAGTCCTGGCATTGCACTGCCTTCCAATTTTTACTTTCTTTCAAGGTTGTGAAAGGAAACTGTGACCTGCCCCATGGGGCCCAGGACCGGTGGGGCTTAAGTTTGAGCTTGGGAGCCCAGAAAACAGCTAGAGGCTGGGCGCAGACCAGTGTAAACAGAGAAACCAGGAGGTAAACAGCAAATCATCCCGGGACCCAGAGCCAGGGGTGTGCACGGAGGGAATGCTGAAATCTGCTTACAGTCCTTCCAGTGCCACAGCTAGACTGGCAGTGGGAGGGTACAGTCCAGAGCCTGGAGACTCTCCTAGCTCCTGCTGGGGGCCTGACAACATCAGAGGCTGCTGAGCCCAGCGGCTGTGGGCAGGGCCACACCGGTCCTTTGAGGACTTGCATTCTGGAGTCAGGAGCCACAAATGACATCACAGCAGCTGCACCCTTGGGTCAGCACCTCTACCCCTTGCGGGGGCCGCACTGGCCTCATTTTGGAGATGCCACCTTGACATGGGACAGGACCTTTCCTCCAGAGATCGGGCAGGAGGCTGGGATTAGAGCCCCTGGTCAGAGCACTTTCATCTCTGGCTCCCCTTGTAGGCAGGCACTGGAGAAGAGGAGCCCTGGGGTGAGGGAAGGACAGCTCTGCCCAAGTCAGGGACGGCTCTCCGCAGGGAGTGGGGCTCATGGTGGCACAGGGCTGAGGGTCTGAGGACAGGAGCAGAGGGCGCTGCAAGTCACAGAGGCTGATGAAACGGGCCTGGCGAACTCTGGAGACTGAGCTCCATCCAGGTGTCTGGGGACCTGGGGCTGTGAAACTTGGGGTGGTGGGTGGAACGAAGAGGGAAACCCCACACAGCCCTGCCTGTCGCCAAGCTCACCTGACCGTTGCAGGGACACTGGAGCAGGTGTGTGGACCTTGCATCTACCTTCCCTGCAGCCCCATCAGCACACGGCCTGCCAGAGGGAGTAGAACTCTGGTGATTCTGGTGAGACCCAGTCAGGTCCCCAAGGAGAAGGAGCCATGGCTCCCCTTGAGAGGGGCAGAGATGGGCATGCTAAAGCCCCGTGAAGCTGCACCTTGAGGTCCAGCCAGAGCTCCTCTCAGATGCAGAGAGAAGAAACCCACGTCCTCCTGCTTCCTTCTCTTGTGGCTTCCGGGTGTGGACCCTGCTTGCACTGAAATGGATGGCAAAAAAGGAGACAGACGGGGCAGCCCAGGGCAGAGAGGTAGGGCAGCGTGTGTACGTCAGCAAGGGGTGGCGCACACCTCTCATCCCAGCACCCTGGGAGGCTGAGGCAGGACGAATGCCAGTCTGAGCCCAGCCTGGGCAACTCAGGACCCATGAACACAGATATAAGATGGCAACTGTGGGTGTGCAATTCGAGCAGTCTCACCTGCATGCTACCTGCGGTGCTAGACTCACTGAGAATTTGCAACACACGTTAGGGAGATGACAGAATATAAAATTTCACTATGAACCGTTGGCTTTGTTTTAAACTTAAAATGTCACTAATTAACAACTGAACACCTCGCAGCAGGTGGGGGCCAGCGGAGCACACAGCTGCTTTCGTGGCATCCTGGTCCAGCAAGGAGCCCCGTCCACTCTCTGGTCGTCTTTCCCTGGTACGCGGGGCAGCGATCCTCACACACCCCAGCGCCTCTGGCCTGCTCTCCGCGCTGCTGAACTGAAAGCGGCAGGAGGGCGGGGACCGAACCGGAACCGTGGCTGCACCTGGCCGGCAGGGGTCTTGGGTGCAGGGTCTCGTCTCTCAGAACCTGCATTCCTTCGTCTACAAAGCACATCAAGGCTGACCATGCCATGGGATGTCGGGCAAGTGACCGCAGGTCCAGCGGGAAAGCTACGCCGCGCGGAGCTGTTGGGAGACAGTTTAGTAACACAGGTGGCCAAACAGCGAACATTTCATGAGCAACAGGTGCCAGGGTCTTGAAATGATTATGGAGGCACACGGTGGCTGCACATCCCCGCAGTGCGCTCCCTTTTGCCTGCCCACCTTACCTCGGAGCAGCACGCAGTGCCTTCCAGAGAGTTTTCCTTTCCTTGCACCCTGAATTTCCAGATTCCTGACGCAGCCAGTCCTCCTTCCACGTGACTCCTCCTCCCCTCTTGCTGATTGGCCTCTGGGTGACCCGTGACCAAGCCTGGCCAATCAAACAACTTCCACTAGGATTTCGTAACTTGCAGCGAGCCTACCCCCCCATTTTCTGTTTTAAGGGGAGCCCTTTACAGTGGGGTAGATGCTGGGAGCACTGGCTAGAAGCAGAAAGAGGGGAGACTCCTCTTCCGGTGGGGAGAGGCCTGGACCCGGGCTGGTTGCCTGCACAGGGCCTACCTTCTGCTCTGGTACTGAGAGGCCGTGCGTTTCCTTCTGTCTAAGCTGCTTCCTCGGCTTTTGTGTCTTACAGTGCAAAGAGCATTGCCGAACCTAGTTTTTAAAAATGCCCCGTTAACCGCCTAGGAAAGGTGTCAGGCAGCTCCCCGACCTGGGGTGTGATTGGAGCCGTGGGGTTGCTCAGTCTGGATCTCAAAGGAGCTCCAGGGGCCCCAGTGTTGCAGGCTGGTCGCCATCCTGACGCAGTGCTGGGAGGTGGCAGAAGGTTTAAGAAAGTGGCACATTGGTTTATTGGGGGATGAAGGGGGTCTCTGGCCCCTTCCCATCTTCCTTCTTCCCTTCTTGGCCACCGGATGACCATCACTGGGCCACCACACAGTCCCCTCTGTGGTGCTGGGCCCCACCACTGGCCCAAAAGGAACTTACATCTGTGATAGATGTCAGCTCACAGTCGCGTTTACCATTGTAACATCTGTCCGTGTGCTGACATTTTCCTTAAATGTTTTAACGCAGTAGTCGGTGGTGGTTACTGTTCAGCATTGCACTACATTCATTTCTATGTATTTATTATGTTGAATACTGGGAAGAAAAGTTTATTTCTTGATTTTACTTTTTGGATTGTCTATTGCCAATCTGATTGGCAAGTGATTTTGCATAATACAGGTGATTTTGCATAATAAAGTTGTATCTTTCAATGGTGCAAAATTCAATAAACAACAAAATCACTTTTACGGTAATTTCTTAAATCTCTTACAAGAGACTTGTGAGGCAAATATTGTCCTGTTTTATGGATGAGGAAATGGAGACTGTTGAGGAACCTGTTGAAGATGATTTAATCTTTGATATATCTTCAATCACTGAGTGATTCCACTCATTCAGCAGCACTGAACAGACTAAGGAGAGAAACTTAATGAAAACATTTTGTTCCTTGAAAGCAATGGAAGCGTGAGAAAAAAATCTTTTTCTCCTTCCTATGTCTTACACACACAGGTACACAGACTGTGTATAGTCTTCAACTGCAGTTGTGATGTCTGGATCTACAGTAGCCACTTTGCAGTTCTGAGGTGATAAGCAGGAAAATGAAAAGTCAACAAGCTGAGAACGATAAGACTCTGCATTCTTTCTGGTTCCTTTTGGGTTGCTGTATTAATCCTAAACTTCTTTTATCAAAATTCTTACAGGAAACAACTAAAGGCCCCTATGACTTAAACTAATATTGGATATTCAGTTCCTTGCAGCCCAATACATTTATAGCTGATTCAAACTCCTGAAATTTAAGTGCTGGAAGTGAGTTTTTCCTGATCAGTCGTTTTAGTCTGGATCAAAACTCCTGCTACCCCACTTCACTGTCATAGGTGTCAGGCAAGCTTCTAATACTGTTTTCTCTTATGGAGGTTACTAATAGCAAGGCTTTGTGTGATAATTTAATGCCCAGAAAGTGTTTCGATTATCTCAGTAGACTAGGAATAGAAGGGAGCAGCTCAATTTGATCAAATGCATCTGCAGAAGACCAGCAGCTAATGTCATGCACGACAGAGGCAGAAGAAATGAATGCTTTCCCACTAGGATCAGGACAGGGGCCAGGGTTACTGCTCCAACCTCTCCTATTTCACACTGAGCAGGGGAAACTTTAGCTACTGCAATAAAGTAAGAAAAACTGGAAGATGTTCAGACCATGTCTTGGGTACTTTTTTCTCCTTCCTGGAACAAAATACCTGGCACCCCAAATGAAGCAAGAAAGGTTTATTTAGCTTACAGTTTGTGGAGGTTCCAGTTCATAATCAGCTGGCGCCAAGGCAGGGTGGCATGGTACAGGGGAAACACTTCAAGACAGCAGCCAGGAAAAGCAGCCAGAGCAAAAGAGGACAAGAGTAAGCCTCTTTTCCTCCTTTGTATCCTACACAGGCTACTCCCTCTCCAGGGCGGGTGTGGCACTCACAAAACCTCTGTGCCCTCCTCTT